TATCTCAGTTCCCAAGGGTGTATTCCATGTATCTAACCCTCATCCCTTCCAATTCAACCAATTCTTTGATTTCTTATCTCAATATGGTTACAGTGTCCATACCGAAGATTATGTAACTTGGAGAGATATCTTAATGGATGTAACCTTAAGTGATCAAGATAATGCCTTATATCCCTTGCTTCACTTCGTCTTAGACGACTTACCAACATCTACCAAATCTCCCGAATTGGATCAAACAAACTGTGCTCAACTCATCAAAGAATGGAATGCTGGAGTTGAATGCAAGCCTATGCAAGATCTTATCCCTCTATACTTGAGCTACTTAGTCCATGTAGGTTTCTTGTCCCAACCTCAAGATTCTACTAAGAATCAACTCCCAGCACTTCCAGAAGGATTACAAAATGTATTAACTTCAACTGGAAGAGGCGGAAGATCTTAAATCTGAAAAACTGTATATTATATATAAAAGAATATAGCATAAATAAAATTATAGTTAAAATAATTTATTAGTGTAATTTGAATTATTTGAATTATTTGCAAACTTGAGCTTTTACATTACTAAAAGCGCCTATACCAGCTGCTTGATGAATATCTATATGTAGTAGAGCATCAACATCTAAAAATAAGAATTATCAATAAGTTGAATAATATATTATATATAAATAATCACCTTGTCTACAAATTGGACACCTTCTAGTTTGAGTATTTAGTTCAATAGAGCAATCATAGCACAAGCAAAGATGTCTACAAGGTAGAATAGCTGTATTACACTTAGATTCTAAACAAATAACACATTCCGTTAGTCCTGCATTAGTTTCATCCTTTTTAATTGGAATGAAATTTGAATCAGTAGAAGCTTCAGTATTCGACTCTAAAGTCTTCTCCATAAGTGTATCGTAGCCAAATATCGGGTTAACAACAAAGTTATTACCATTAATCTAGTAATTATTAATACATTTATAATCTATATATAACTATATGATTACTGTAACTTTAGTTTTTAAGTGCTGAGCTTCAAAAATTAAGCTTTTGGCTTCAATATCTTCATTAGGGTTATAGTCTGTTTTTTCTCTGCCTCCAGGCAAATCATCAATTCTCCTACTCTCTTCAGTTGTTATATCGATATAAATTGTTATTGAATTATTTGCTAAATTAATAAATTTGTTAGTAAAATACTATTTTACATAACTATATACAACTTACTCTTGTTCAATTTTGCTTTATCTCCTTCGCATAATTCGTTGGAAGTTAAGTGAATAATTAACGGGAACCAAATTCTAGGAGGTGGAGGGGCTCTATCTGGCTTAGGGATTGCAACTGTTAATCTTAAATTACTTCTCCTTCTGGGATTTCCACTATCATCATTATTTGTTCTAGTCCAGGTTTCTACTAGTTTTCTCTCAAATGAAGATCTTAACCCATCCGCAATGGGCTCAGGCGGTCTAATTAAAAACTCTCCATCTTTTCTAAATAATCCCTCTAAATACTCTCCCAAGTTATCAATAGTAAATTCTTTATTAATACCGGGATCTCCGTCAACTTCCAAGTATCTCCTTTGAATGTGTCCCTCTTCGCAAGAGTCCAGCTTTTCTCCCAGAGGATACATATGTTTCCGGAATTCCTCTTCCGTGTATCCCCAAAATAGCTTCCATTTACAACTAATTAAAGAATTATAGTTTAAACACAATTTAATACCCTCAAAGGGCTTAGCTTCGTTAAATTCCGAAGTTCTTATAATTTTTATAGTGTCAGTATTAATAAAGAACTTGCTATCTAGTATGGATACGGTAGACTCTTCATTTCTTGGTAATGGAACTCCAGCTTCCTATAAAAATAAATTCATTAACTAACTGACGAAATAACTTTAATGATTTATTATTACATATTGATCTAAATATTAAAAGTTAATATTGAATATCGAATGTTTTAAAAAATTTACCTTTCTCTTCTTGAGTTCTATCTGGTGCTGGAATAACCTTAGGGCCAAAGTAAAGATTAGAAGTGTTGGTCAGAGGAAAACAAGGTTCAAGCTTAGGGCTAATACTAATTCTTGTTTCTTCTTTATCAACCTTATCCTCTTTCAAAACTGTATCTCCTTCGGTTAACCCTGCTCTTTCCTCCTCTCTAGACCCAAGCTCCATAGTTTGCATAGCATCTAATTTTTTCATTAATATTATTTCATTTATTTGGTATATCTTTATTAACCTTCTATATGAGCTAAATCCGCTTTTTTAGAACTTAAACTAACTGACATACTGTTATTATATTTTATTATAAGCAATAAGCATATATTTTTATTAATATTAAAAAAGCAATTATAAACTTTAGCTTTAGTCTCTATTTATACCTTTAAACTAATTTCGGAATTTTTTTATTTTAAATTTCAGTTTAAAACCCAAATCTACACATTTTTCATTAGGGGAATTTTTGTTAATTTTGGATTTTTAGTGACTGTTTATTTATAAATGAGCGAAGAGTTTGATATTTAGTGGAAGTGATAAAACTTATATAGAATTAGTTTTTTTTTGATGCGTTGGTATTGGACAAAATTTTACTGGCTTTTTCCCCTGTTTATCAAATCGTTAATTAATATCAGATTAATCACTTTTTCAAAAATTTTGGATTACATAAAACCCTTTTTAACAGGTTTTTTTTGTAATAATCTAGATATAAAAACTTTTGAGTATATGGCAGCTATATATCAAATAATAGCGTATAATAACTTATATGGATAAATCAAATAGTTCAGTTATTCAACAGTCTCCCAAACCTTACCTAAAACCATAAATAATAACGCAACTTTACAATGATATAATATATTAAAAGCAACAAAAATGTTTAATTAAAGTATTAAGCTTAATTAGCGTGGCTTAATAATTAATAGCCAAAATATAGTGAATCGAACAAATCTTTTACATATCGCCTAGTTCTAGAGGGGATCTTGATCAACTTGGAGTTTAAATTTAGTAATGTCTAAATTTAGTAAATTAAAAAATCAATAGTGCAATTTGAATAAAAATTAAAGGTATATGAATTTTTTATTATTGATTTAAGCTTTAGCTGTTGATTAGAAGTAGTTATTATATATAAAGTATTGAATTGAAGTTTTTAATTAGTAGTTAACATAGAGTATTTAATAAGTTTAGTAGCATTGATATATTAGTAGAATTATAGAAAAAAGTGGAAAATTTACATAAAAGCTAAATTATTTTAGATTAAATTATTAAACCCTTAAACTAAGAATAAACCGATATATCGTCCAACGCGTCGGTGAAATCGTCTCCATCGTCTGACTCGGAATCTGAATTGGTATAGTATTTGGACGAGGTGATTGATGTTGCTTTTGACGTGGCTAGCGAAGGATCCGTGGAGGCTGAGTACATACTTTCTTGGTAGAATATACATTCTTCGGGTGCCATCTAAAATAAATTATATTAGTTATACTTGCTTTAATTATATATATATTCTTACATCTTGAACTAGATCTGGATTACCACCAGCAGCAGCAAATAAGTCTTTAATGGAGGGATAAATAGCAGCAGCCTAATCAATTAGCAAAAGATGTTTAGTATAAAAATATAATAGTATATTATTAATAATTACCGTTTGACGATATTCATACAATAAACCTGTATTGCCTGGTCCAACAACAAAAGTACCTCCCAACTGGAAGCCATCACCGTCAAAGTTACCCTTAATTCCAAGCTTTAGAGCTGCACTAACAGCTTTCCTACTTGCACTGGACACTAAATCGGCTAATCCTGCAACAATACCATACTTTACAAGACCTAGAGCTTTATGAACGGTTCTATCGGTATCAAGGAATAGCTCCCACTCCCAGTACTTTCCATCCAAGAACTCTTGTAGTCCAACTTCTTCAAATCCAATACCTATTAGTCGTACGTTTAATTCATCTATTTATATATTACTCCGTTAGCTATGTATAATATTGTTAAAGTAATTGAATTTTACCGAAGTATGGTTTTAAATTTGATAATAATCTCGACTCATAACTAAAGAATACATTAATATAAACAAATATATGGCAATAAAAGATAAAAACTTACCGACATAAAGGACAACCAAATCTACGCAAAACCTTTAAAATAACGGTATTACCAGCCCATAAATCCGTTATTAACACCGAGTCCCCTGTCAAACTTTGGATCATAATTCCTTCCAAAAACTGAGGTTTTTTCTTTTTAAAAACCTTAATATTTTTCATTGACTTCATTGATTTTAGGATTGAAGGCGCCATATTTTTCTATTATGTTGGTTTATAAACTGAAGAAGAAGCGAAGTATAGTTAGTTTAAGTGAAGGATCGATCCCCATTTTATATTACACTTTAGATCAATCACTCTTTTATTAAATCGAGTTCAGGGGTAAATTGCATTAACCAATAACATCGTCATTACTATAATATTGAATTAATTAAAAGGTGTTAGGGAATTTATTGCGTGGTATTGTTGATGGAGATCAAAATCGTAGTAGTAATTTTGAGATCATAAAATTCTTTAAATTGGTCATATTAATGTACCTTAGTCAGCTCTAGTTCAATTAAAGTTAAAGCTACTAGTAATCTTGTTATATTAATTTTTTCATTTTATTCACTTTTTAGAGTTTATTAATCAATAATAATAAATGCTAATAATAATATTTATATAATAATTAAGAGCATAAAAAGTCGTATTTCCAAATCTTTCTCCATACTAATAACTATAAATTAACCCTATTTAACATAATAATTTTATTACACTTCAAAACCTTTAAAGTTAAATTTAATATATAGCGAAGTGTATAATATTAACTTATAGGGTTGTTTATCATACTCTACCTGCTGGTTTTGTTATCATTGGCATATTTTTAAAAGTTTTCGATCTAATGGTAGTTAGAAGGATTTGATATATTGAGGTTGAATTATCCTGAATATCGTTAATTCTCCTTTTTTTAAATTTATTTAAAAATTCACATAACAAAATAACACTTTAACAAGAAAAATGCGCTAGCTGGGAATCGAACCCAGACCACTTGCTTGGAAGGCGAGTATTCTAACCATTATACTACTAGCGCTTACCATACAAACTTTATTTTTTAATTTAACTAGTTGATTAAGGGTTGAATTTTAGTTTTGAATAAAATCTGCGACCTTATTCAAAAATTAACAAAACCCACTAATACAAGCATTTTTAATTTCTTCTTTTAAAAGTTAATTTCCATATTCTATTTTTATTAGCACCTTCCTAAAACCTTATTCACTTTTTCTTTTCCCCACTACTTAACGAAATAAGCATTTAATCAATTTAATATATCCACCATTACGATTAGCAATAAACTATAATTAAGTTTTTAACTTATCACCATTTACATATAATATAACTACCATTCTAGCTAATATAGGCTAATAAGTAATGATAATATGAGTATTGTATAGATATAATCAATAATTTTTATACTAAATTTAACAATTTTAGCTTATACTTAAATATATTAACTAATAATTAGCTATGATATTAATAAAATATATCAATTAGAGCAAAAGACCGAAAAAAGAGTATATTATCGCACAGTTACAAAAAAACTTACCCCATATTTGTAGACTTAATATGTAGATGGAGTAATATATAAATGAAAAATATTTAATACTACAATCCATTTGAGTTAATTTCAATTGCAAATATTTATTACAAGTAGAGTTAATCGTATGCTAAATTATCGCCGAAGTAGATAAAATATTGAATTATATATAAATAATAAATCGCTAGATTAGTAGAAATCAAGCGATATAAACTAGGGGCTAGCGTCCTTGTTATTATATAAGTTGAATAGCGTTAAACTAGGCTTAATATGTTAACATAAAAAAGTTTAATAATAAAATTATAGAATAGGAATAAATTTTTATTATTTTGTTATAAAACTTAACTACTAAAAGTTGGATTATAAAAAAATATTTTTTGTTTGTTGAGCTATAACATAATTTAATACTAAATGACAATCAATAAAATAAAAAATGCAGCTTTATAACGCTTTTGTTAAATCTAAGTTAAATATCTTATCTCTATTAGATATCAGTTTAAAAATAGTTATTAAAATAAAACTAGACGATAATACAAATATTATGATAAAAATTTACAAGGGTATAGGCAAATAGTATGGCCAACAATAGCATCTACTCTTATTAAGATTTTTTATTCAAGTGATAAATCTAAATAGTAAAAAATCTTGTCAAATTTTAAGATAATTTTTGACTTCTAGCTCGTAAAGATTGATCAACATAGTTGTAGCATATATTACAAACCATATCTAAACTACATCCCATAGCTAGCATATATCATAATTTATAGTTTTTAATACAGTTATTTATATGAAAGATTCTGGTTAAATCAAGGAAATTTGATCCAAAAATTTTATATGGCAAATTTATAATATTTTTGATTTTTACATGATTAAAGCGTACTAAACAACCTCTTTTATTAGTTTATGTTTTTAGTATGGTTTTCAAATATGATATTATCGGCTCTATTCTTTTATTTAATAACTATATATGATAACAACTCGCTTATATTAAAATTAAAATTTTGAACAGAGCTCATACAAAATTTGAGTTAAATTAACCAGAATCTCTCATATGCATAAAATTTAGCTAAGCAAGCTAAATCTAAATCAAATTTAACAACTAGTAATCAATAAAGATAAGTAATATATATCGAAGAGATATAGATAAGAAGTTAATAAGAGATTTATAGAAGCATATATGTAATATATAAATAAATATGATAACTAATGTAGGAAACGAATATAACAATGAAAAAAATAAATCTAAGGTGTAAAGAAAAATTAATATTAATGTGAATTGTTTGCTATAAAATATCGCTGTTAGAATACAATTTCTCATGGTCATCATTAAGACAGTTTGTCCGAGTGGTTAAGGAGTCAGACTTGAAATCTGATGGGCTCCGCCCGCACAGGTTCAAATCCTGTAGCTGTCGAATTATCTTTTTCTAAAATAACTTTTTGTGATAGTTTTAATTAGAATTGAAAAGTAGGATTGCAATGAGCAGTATTTTAGATATTATAATCGATTATATACTAATAAACTAGAGATATTTCAATTGTTAAATAATGTATATAAAATGAAATAATTAAATATAGTATCTTTTTAAAAAATATATTTAAGGATTAGATAATAAAAAATGACTCATTCAGAGGTGACATGCTGGTGATTACTTACGAACGACAATTTTATGAACCATTTCTTCCTTAGCAATAAGGTGATTGGTCTTCTCTACAAGACTCAACAACTTGTTGATATCGTGAGTCCATTCATTAAGGATGGTATTGGCATCCTTTGGAGCTTGGAAGTTAACAATTCCTGAAGGGCGATCAATTTTAGCATAAATGGTCTTTGATACGACTAATTTGGCTAAAACATCCTCTGTTTGATCAAGGTCTAAGTCTAAGAGCTCAGTCATGCGTTTAAGAGTGATACGAGTGTAATATTTTTCAATGACACGGATATTGTGTTCAATGACACGGCTGTGAAGATCGTCCCAACGTTTAGCACCTTGCTCAGTTCCGCGAACGAAAGGATCTATGGAGAGAAGAGACTTACCATAGAGCTCTTGGAGACTAGGCCATCTGATAAGTTCAATAGTAGTGAAACTGGTACCTAATTCTTTGTGTTGAGGGGATTTTTCCAAATAAGGGTCTTGCATGATACGATGAATTAAATCACTTTGTTCATTGTCATATGGAGAAAGCATTACATAAATCAAAGCTTGTTCTAAAGCTTGCTTCTTCTTAACATCATCAGCTTGAACGGAAGGGGTGTGATAAACTTCTAAGTAATGCTTTGAAATATCCAAATAATTATTTTCATGAGAAGCATATTGAATCATAAGCTCATAGAATCTTAATTTAAGATCGTGATTCTCCTCATTCTTGAAGAAATTGAGACCTATTTTTCTAGAAATAATTAAAGTACGAACGTAATCTCCATTAGCTAAGCATAATCTCATTTGCTCAAGTAAAAACTCTGTCTTTTCTCTCTTTTCCATTGATCCAAAAGTTTCAACTTGTAATTCTTGTAAAATATCGGCTGCTTCAGAGATTTTACCCTCATTTTCATGGATTTTAGCTAAATAAAGAGTAACACGAGCTCTTTCAACTTCAACAAAAATCTTTCCTTCTGTTACTTGACGAAGTGTGTTAATCAATTGGAGCTTAGTTTCCATATCAGGGGTTTCATCTAAATAAGACATAGCTTTTTGGACCATAGATACAATAGCCTAAGAGTAAAAACAATATTTAGTAAATTTATAATAGCTGCTATATAATGAAGCTTTACTTGTTTGAGTTGACCATGTTTCTTAGATAAAAGAATAACAATTTCATTTAAACGAGCCCATAATTTGGCACCACGAGTAATTTCAACTGAAGCAACTAAGAGTTTAGTAGTTGAAGCTAAATCAGCACCCTAAAAAAATAAAAATATATTAATTTATATTTAACTAGAATAATAAACCAAAGAGTATTACATTTCTAGTTTGCTTTTCTAAAGATAAAATTTTTTCTAAAGCTTGCTCAATTTGACCACCCTAAAATAATAATTAGTAAAAATAGCAATATAAAAAACTATAGTGAATAATACTTGAACGAGGGGTTGAACTTGGGTTAAAAGTTGATCTACTTCATTGGAGTAATCCTTCTCCATCTTAACTAATTTACCTTCTGACATATTAATACAAATTTACTTAGAATATTAATTTAAAGTTGAGTGTTTTGAATATAAACTAAATATTTAACGATTAATAACTAATAATTTTTTATCAATTAATTATATATACTTTAATATTATTATTATTAAAAAAAGAATTAAAATAAGACTTTTTTCTAATTTTTTTTGATTTGTAGTAAAAATAATTCAATTGGTGTACTGCTTGCGTCATTTTAATATTGGGATAAATTTAAGTTTAATCTTAGTAATTTATCCCATAATAATATATGTTGATACTTGATTTGAATTTCTTTCCTAATTTAGAAATATTTGATTATATCAAATATGAATCTTCACTCAAACTATAGACTAACAAAATATTGAATTTATCATTAAATAATATGAAATAGTTGGTGCTCTAATATTTTAAAATTTATATTTGACGATATAAATCTAAATACTTTATTAAATTTTTAAGCAGTATCATTATAGAAAATAATTTATTGTTGAATTATTTAGTTTCGAAAATTTCAACAGTTTGTTAATCAATACTTTGAATAAAAAACATTTAATAAGTTAATATATATTATTATTTAGCTAAGCATTTAACAGTTTTTATTAGTACTTGTGACTAAATAAGCTTATAAAATTTTTATATAGCATAGTTTATACAAAAATATTAGATTGTTCTAATAAATTATAGATATTCGATAGAACTTTCATTTAAAAATTAAGATCTATTGTAAATTAAAGCTTATTATTTAATTAAATTGAGAATTTCCTTAATCAGTGCTACTCTACTAAAAACTTAATTATTAAAAAACTTGATAATAGTTTTGTCTGGATAAATATAATCGCTATATATGAAGCAATGTATAATTTTATATAATTAACTACAAGTCACGATATATTATAATATGTTTAAAACATAGCTGTCTACAGTAAATGCATAGCATGATAGTTGGATCGTATAAGAAAATATAATACCTTCAAATTTTGAAGGCTGACCTGATTGTATTTACATTTCACAATAATTGATTATAACTAGAAGCGTGTTTATTGAGCATTGCTCAATAAAAGGTATTTCACAATAATATAATTGTAAACGTATTAACAAAATAGATTATAATAATAAATACCCCGAGCTTTCTATTAGGATTTTTATTATTTAAATTTCAATATGTACCCATATAGCTTTGAGAGTAATTATGATGGTTCAAAATAAGTTTATTGAGTTATATAGGCTAATTTAAACCCATTATAGAAGCATAAACAAATTATTGTAATATGAAGAGTGATGATGATATTAGTAGACCTAAACTTATTGATTAGATTGAAGTGAATATAGCATTATAAC